AAAATTAACAGTGAAAGTAACAAAAACTTTATATAATAATTATATTATATATATTATAATTAAGTGTGAAAATAACCGAAGGATATAGTCAAAACAAAAATTATTCAGACCAGATATTATTTTTTTTATTTTTTTTTACTAGTGGGTTTTAATAGTTCATTTATGTAAGTGAGGATAGCAAAATAAAGTAAACTGTGATATATTATACCCCAAAATTCTTCATATAATGGACTACCAGTAAAATGTATACAAATTTGGGACCAAAAACTTTTCAGACCGAGTCTGGGAAAAAAATTAAGTTCAGGTTTGCATGAACCTGGTTGACAGCATGCCCAGGAGACTATATGCTGTCATTAAGGCTAAGGTCACCCGACAAAGTATTGATAGTTGTGTAAATATTGACAGTTGTATGAATAATTTTTGGTTGATTGTAATCCATTACATACCTCTCTATCAAAGTTATCTAATATTATCAAGCTGAATTTTTATTCTGACACAGTTTAACTCTGAGTTCTTGTCATATTTTATTACCATTTTCTAAACTATAGCGAATAAACTGTGATAATGTGAGAAATGTTGAAGGTGTCTGAATAAATTTTGGTTTGACTGTATCTATTGGATAAATGAAGCTAACCAACTAACATTATACATACTCTTTTGGTTTCTGTACCCAATATTTAAACAATGTACAAATGCAATGAAAATATTGGTATCGGTACTCGGTATCGGCAAGCACCAAAAACAAAAGTATCGGTATCAGGCAAGTACTGGAAAAAATGGTATCGGTGCATCCCTAATAAAAATGATTATATTCAGTGGCTTCTCTTACTTTTCTTAGTGATATTCAGTGCCAGTTTATCAGGAAGTGACAATTTTCTTCTCATTGACTCGTTGAATGGAAACAGTGCTTTATTCGCAAATGTTTTATGCAATATTGCAGTTTTGCGCATACGTTAAATTCGCAACTTTGAAAGGAAGCCTAGCTATTGAGGTCTCTACTGAAACTCAAGAGGAAACACGTGAGATTGCTGAGTTTTTTGTTTTGTTTTTCTCAGAAGAAAGATCTGAGAGGCAGGATATTTCAAAAATCCATTAGATCTCCATTGAATTGCTATCCTGGAGAAACCATTAAGATAATCTTGAGATCTATGACTTAATATTGCAGACTTTGTGATTTTGGTAAATTGCCGAGTTTAAAATATTCTCTCTCTCTCTCTCTCTCTCTCTCTCGCTCTCTCTCTCTCTCTCTCTCTCTCTCTCTCGAAACTCTACACGTGTGAGATAACAGGGTTTTTTTCTCAGGAGAAACATCTAAGAAGCACAGAAGTCTCCATTCTCTCTTCTCATTGCAGTTTTGGAGGAGATATTGAGATCTCACTGAAAACTCAAATGCACCTCTTCTTGTTTGCAGAGTCAGGTGAAGTGGATCCAGAGATTGCCCGTCTGAATGCTCTGGGCTTCACCGGCTGTTTGTCTGTGGTCCAGTTTAACTCCATCTCTCCGCTGAAGGCGGCTCTGCTGTATCCAGATACCAGTCCTGTCATAGTCACTGGACCGCTGAGCGAATCCAGCTGTGGCTCGTCTTTACCGACAAACCCATACGCCGCTGAGACCACTCATTCTCTCACAGGTAACGCCATCAAAACTGATACACACTTCCTTCACTGGTTTAGTTATAGAGTGCAACAGTCGGGTTCTTGAAGTAAAAATCCCATTCCTTTTCTCCACATGTGAACTGATTTTTACCAATAACTCATAAACCTTTAATGACAGATCTATTGTGAGCTACCAGGTTGTTAAACAATGGTATATGCTTTTGTTGAAGCTCTCAGTTCACATTATATCAACTTTTTTACTCAACTGATAATCCTCGTATCAGAACCATAAATCTATCAAGAGCCTTAACCAATGGATTTAGTGAATTTACACTAAAGATGAAGACAATGAAGACAAGCAAACTCTGATTTAAGCTTTGATGCGAACACTAATTTAAGTGTCAGAATGAAATTCATAACTTTGCACATACAGATATGAGCAGACTCCTAAATGATTGTGAATATGAGATATTAGGTTTTAGATTAGTGATTTGTCACTGCAAAAAATTATTTTCTTACTTAGTATTTTTGTCTTGTTTTCCAGTACAAATATCTAAACATTATTAAATCAAGAAACATTTGCTTGAGAAGCAAAATGACTTAAGATAATACATCAAAATTAAAGTGAGGTTTTTTTTTATTAAAATGAGAAGAAATATCTGATAAAATGCAAGAAAAATAATCTTGTTTACCCTTTGAATTAAAATAATTTTTCTGACCCATGGACCATGAATGGCTATAAATTGATACATATAAAAAGATATAGTAATGAAGACAAAAATAGCATTATATCACTTTTTTGAAACAATTTGTTTGTTGTTAATGCATGTGTATATATATATATGTATATATATTAGTGCTGTCAAACGATTAATCGCATCCAAAAGTTTTTGTTTACATAATAAATGCGAGTGTGCTGTGTATATTTATTATGTATATATAAAGACACACACATACAGCATATATTTTGAAAATAATTACATGTATTTACATGTATATAATTATTTCATATGTAAACATATTTAATATATAAACATAACATATTTGTAAAAAATATATACATGCATGTGTGTGTTATATATACATAATAAATATACACAGTACACACACATATATTATGTAAATAAAAACTTTTATTTTGGATATATATATATATATATAATTCTAATTATTGTAATATACTATCCTGTATAAAATGTATTTTATTGATTTTTAATATATAAGGAAATATATTTTCTTTGCATAAAGGGAGCAACAGTTCTTAAGTAGTTAAAGTTATTTAGTTGCAAACAAAATCATTTATAGGCATCTGTATCTTCTTCAGACTTTGTTTTCCAAACTTCTCTCTAGTCTGTCTGGCCAGATTCCTCCTCAAAGTCGAATTTCAGCAAACTTTCGTCGCCGGCTCACTGAATCCTCCGCAGTGCTAATTAAATTAGAGCAATAATGATGGTAATGGCTGATCACTGTATTAATCTGTGTGAGAAAGACCTTCATTTGCATAATCATTTCTCGATTGCCTCTGCGTTTGTGCCGCATCGCTCCTTCATCGAGCGGCTGTGGCGTATTCAATGAGCCGCGACCTGCACTTCAGTCCTACTGATGATCTGTCTGTCTGTCTCTCTTCTCTGCTGTAGATCATGTGGGTACAGTAGGTACGGGTGAGCCCATAGTCAATGCTATCAACAGCGACTCGGCTTTGATCGGAGGTAAATGGATGTTGTAGTGCATTACAGAAATATTCCATTTCTCATCTTTTCTCATTTCATTCATTATTATTTGCTGCTTTCAGCTCATATTTACTTTGTCTTGCTCTAGGAATCCCTTAAATTAACAATTCGCCCAAATCATCATTTAGTTCTTCCCAAACTTTTTGACTTTATGTACTTGGAAGACAAAATAAGATGTTTACCCCATTTTTCCTTCAGTGAGCTCCAAAAAATGCAGCATAAGAGTGAAATTTAGAGTTTAAAAAAAATTGAATTTTAGCATTTCAAGTTTTAGAAAATGGAACTTAAATTTACAAACAACAAAAACTCATAAACTGATATAATGTCAAAATACTAACCTACTGAGAGATTAAAATCTGATTCATACCTTTATAATATACTGACAGCTGCCATAAAAACGGGTGGTAAAGACACAATTGCAAAACACCGTCATGATAACAAATACAACACTAAAATAATGCA